GGCAATGGTTGCAGATCCAACAGCTCCGTGGGCGGTAGATTCTTCTCCGGCAGTATCAGGTGCCGGAAACTCACGGGTAACTGCGTTTCGGCGCCGATCCACCGGTCAGATACGACGCGTAGGAAGTACTGCGGTGGTAACGGTTCAAACACTGGCACAAAGAACTTGATCACGTGCTCGTCGGCTGCGTACTTGGCCTTCAGCAGGAAATATTCATGATGCAGTATCACTTCTGAGTCCACGTCCTCGACCAGTATCCAGAACGCCTCCGACATGCCGTGCACCTTCTCGTCCCATTGAAAGTCTGGAGTGATAGTCAGGACGACACGCAGAGTGGAACGTGTGATCGGTTGTATGTGCGTAGACAGGCCCAGCTTCGGGAACTGATGGACGTACTTGTGTATGGTTTTGCCGAGCTTCGGCACGCGTATCAGCTCGCCGATCTCGTTGGGTCCGAGATCGTACAGTCTCTCCCAAGGAAAGTTCTTTTTCTCGATCTTCTTCACGATCTCCTCTGGCATCTTGCGGAACTGTCGCAGCGGTGACATAGACTGCCACATCCGGCGGTCGATCATCTTGCAAAGAGACAAACACTTGTCCGCCAGCTGCGCCCAGCCCCGAAACAGCACTATTTCGAAGATAGCTCTCATGAGACGCGACGCGGACTGCGTGACGAACACCATGTCAGACATGAGGGCGAAGCCCTCGAGCCTCAGTTGCGAGATATATGCCTGTAGAAGCACATTCACCTTCGCACTCGGCTCTTCGATGCTCTCCTTCACAGGTATCGGCACTCGTTCCATCAACTTCTGCAACTCTAGTTTCTCCTCCTCGCGCACGTTTATGTTTTTGAACTCGCCGGACAGCGAGAACACGCGAAACAATTCTATCTCGCTCAATGTGCGCTTCAGCAACTGATTGTACGTCGCCATAGTCTCGTGCGTGCAGTAATAATGAGATCCGATTCTGCCCAACTCGGTCGCCTGAAAATTGCCGGACTTGCGGTCGTACTTAATGAGGCCGCTGCGATCCAGCCCAACAGCGGCCGAGTGAATGAGATCGGCCCGGTGTAGCTCCAGTAACGGATCCTGCTTCAGTTTATCGTGGCTGATCCCATACAGGCTCGGACAACGCAGCATTCGGATATAGAGGTAAGTGTAGCCGAGCCAGGTGACCGCATCCCGAATGTTCTGAATCGTACCCAACACCACTTCCGCGTTCAGCATATCGGACATTTTGCTGATCAGCTGCGACTCGATTGGCAGCTGCTGATTCAACAACGACAAGTAGTACTGCAGCTCGCTGTGATTCGTGATGAGGATACCCTCGCCTTTCGTGTCGTATTGCGGTCGACCTGCACGACCCAACATCTGCAGGACGTCTAACGCGCCCAGTTCCACCCACCTGCCTTTCTCCGGATTGTACACTTGCGTGCCCTTGATGATGACTGTATGTGCCGGCAAGTTAACACCCCAGGCCAAGGTTGCCGTGGACACGAGCACTTGTATGTGTCGGTCGGCAAAGAGATCCTCCACCAGAGTACGATCGACACGGGTCATGCCGGCATGATGAATCGCGAAGCCGTACGGTAGCAGATCCTTGAGTTCTTGATTCTTCACCTGCTCCGCTTCTGTTCGCAATACTTCCATCGACGCGGAACCTTCTCGTAGAAACTGACCCAACGTGTCTTTCTCCAGACACATGTCTCTGATGGCGCGCGCTGTCTTACCGGTTTCCTTGCGTGAATGCACGAATATCAGCACTTGATTACGGCCCGCGTGTTCCATAGTCTTCTCATAGACGATCTCGTTCATTACCTGGAAACGCTTGAGCGCCTTCTTCTCGGTGACACCGATGTATTGCTGTTCCAATGCCACTGGCCGGAAACTATTGTCGAAATAGAACAGTCCTGTTTCAGGTTTGATGCGCAAAAACGCCGCGACGTCTTGATAATTGGGTAACGTGGCCGACAAGCCGACGAGTCGCACGTCCTCCTGGGTAGTCTCGATATTCCGGATCGTCCTCGCGACCAACGCTTCGAGAACAGGTCCTCTTTCGTCGTGAAGCAAGTGAATTTCATCAATAATGATCAGCCGCACCAACGACGTGAAGGTCTTCTCGCCGCCTTTTCTCGTTATGATATCCCACTTCTCTGGCGTGCACACTATCACCTGAGTAGCGGCGATCTGTTCTCGCGTCAGCTGATGGTCCCCCGTTAACTCGGAAACAGTGAGATTGTACGTCGACAAACGCTTCCGGAAATTTCCGACCATCTCCTGTACCAACGAACGCATCGGCGCGACATAGATCACCTTGAATTCGTCGGCATTGATCGTACCGTCGGCATTGATGTGTTTGCCGATCTCTCGCATCATGCACAACAGTGCCACGTTAGTCTTGCCGGCTCCCGTGGGTGCGCACAGTAGCAGGTTCTCGTC